CCCTCTGATACCATGTCGTTTAGGGAAGCCATCAGGCGGATTTTATTAATTGGAAAATGAAATGTTACATTATTCGTTACAATACCACCTATATATATTAACTACAAATTACCTATACAGTACTCACAGTTTACATATTTACAACAACATCTATAAACGAATTAATAACTACATCTAGGTCCTCGTCGTTTCCTCCTTGGACAACTTCATCATGGATTACTAGTATATATCACGATCGAAAATGACATGGACAGTACTAGCTTCGATCTACTAATTATCTACTACGTATATATGTTGAGTTCATCATTCTCAACTGGCCTGCACCTTTAATTTGCTTGCTTTTGTTACTGCTGCCTACAGCTCTACCACTGCTGATTTGATAACTAATTAGGGCTACACCAGACTATAATGTACCTTCCGTCATAAGTCGCTGATCGAGCTGGCTCGTCAGCTAAAATATCGAGTCAGTTTATGAGATTAAAATGAGTCAGCTTACAATTTGAGTTCATCAAGTCTCGCGAGTTGAATAAGACTTAGCTCAAGTGGTGGTCGGTAGTAAACGAATCGAGTAATAAATTAGTTTTTTCGAAGTGAACATTCAGCTGCTCGTGAGACGCTTGAAAGTTATACGAGTTGTTAATTTTGAAATCCAAAAAGTGTTGTATTCCTAACATTGTAATTCACAGTCTTAAATGAGTTAGAAAGCATCATTCTGAAAAGTAAAATGATGCAAAGCATCCATATTATTGTAATGCTGGCATATTTATCCAAGCTGGTCATGTGGTGCTGTAACTTGGAACTTGGAACTAGCTTAGTAGGCCTAAGCTAGATAGTATCCGTTTAGGTGGGCTGGGCACTTAGTACCTGAGTACTTGGGCCGGTTGTTTTGTGTTTAAATATGACCCGAGTGTCCTATGGAATCTCTTGACCTTGAAGATGGGCAAAAGACAAAGATCGAAATTTCTTTTCAATTGGTTTCGCCAATTTTGTAACAAAAGGATTCAGACTTGATGGACTACTTTGTTCATATAAAATTTCCATTCAAAGTCTTTTTTTTTATTGGGGTTGAGCCATCTTACTTATTTGGTATGCTTACATTATCAAGTTCGTTTGCTACCAAAAAAAAATTATCAAGTTCGTCAAAATTATTACCCCACTTGACGCCACCCTTGTCAACCAGGCCTAAACCACTGAAAGCAAGGTCATTGTCCCATCTCAACCTAAATAACAAGAATAAATTCGCAAGCAATGAAAAAAGCTCTTTTAGTTGTGACATTGGACTTTACTACTTGGACCAGTTTTTTTTGTGTTTAAACTTTAAATATGAGCCTAGTGTCGTCCTTCGTCTGGAATCTCTTGACACGAAGTTGGGCAAAAGGCAAAGATCGAAATTTATTTCCAATTGGATTCGCAAATTTTGTAACAAAATGATTCACAAACTTTAAGACTTGATAAAACTACTTTTTCATATGAAATTTCCATTCAAGTCTAACTCATTTGTTATTGGAGTTGAGTCGGTCTACTTATTAGGTATGCTACATTGATAGTTCGTCAAAATCATTACTCCACTCGACCCCATGTCCCCACAGTTGTTAACCAGGCCTAAACCATGAACCTCGATTTCCGCCCTCACAAGTCAGTCTAGGAACTTAGGCATCAAACTCTTATCCTTGTACATATTACGACCCATACCTATTTAAGAGATTTTAATTGAACTAATTTTATGATTCTGTAGCAGTTTTCTATCATGTGTATTAAAGATACAATGGTTTGAAGGCCAAACTCCATTGTGGATTGCCTAAAACCAACCTGATGAGTTGGTATGTTGGGCGTTAGGATAAAAATGGAAGGACGAGTATGATTTTTGTTACTATCTTTCCAAATAGATAAATTGACATGACTTCGTTTTTCCTTTTCGAGACCATTTCATTCACATTGTATTTTTTCGTGAAAATTTCCCGATCCCTTCTTATTAACATTCTTCTAGCATCCATCTCTATATCTTCTTTGCAAACCTTCACCACACCCATAGTCAATTTTTAAATCTTTCGCTGCAAAACCTTTGACACCTTCCTCGACAATTTATCTAAACGTTTCTCCGATCTATATCCTTTATTTTTTTTTTTATCATGAATATTTGAGCATCATCTTCTATCTCCCTTCGCTCCTCTGGTCAAGGTTGTCGATTCCTCTTTTATCTTGTTGGTTGATCTTAATTTTGTTTGAGATTTCTCCTCATCCTTTTGTTGCAGGTCAAACTAAAATTTACTATAGTAAAAATACTTTTACTGAACAGTTCATATGATTTAACCCTTTTAAACCGGAAACCTAAGCAATGCTACACCCAATCAAACGGGTTAAACTAAAAAATTACTACATAATAAGTGTAGTGTTCTTACTGAATACATAGAATTTAGCTTTACATATATTAATCAAATATTTTTAGTTAATGGTCCATTTTCCATGTTCTCCATATGTCTTTGTTATTTCCCATAGGGCCAAAAAAATTTAATGCTTATGTATGAGATATTGGAAATTTCAAGTGCTACTGGATTTTTTTTACCCTCTCCCTCATAATTATTAATCGTTTCTTTATGAATCTGAAGCTGGTAGTATCGTCCATTCGGAGACATCCGATAAAATTGAAGCAGGTAGTATCTGCCTTTGCAAAAAAATGTAGGTATTAACTGGTGAAATAAAAAAAAACATATGGTACAAAATTAAACATGAAATGACTCTATTTGGCCATTTAATTTATTTCTATTTTCTATAAAATCTGGGGCGAATCCCAGCAATTAAAACTCATTAGCTGATTTTCCTTATTTCACAAAAACAGAGACGTTTCATGTTTTTTGGAAATTAATAATTATGATGTCAAAGAAAAAAGGGAAAAATTATCATTCTGAAGGTTATCCTTCACGAAAATACAAACGACCTGTTCTTATATAAAGCTCTGTCACTTTCAGACATATTAATAAGAAAACATTAAAACATATTGGTTGAAAAAACATAACGAACAACAGTAAACAGTTGCACCCATGGAGCCAAAACAGAAAGCCAGTGGATCTCGTCAGTTGCCCAATGCAAAGCCATTGCAATCCAAAAAGGTTCAATCTTGCCTCGTGCTAGTAACTTCAGTTATATATATTGGTCATGAATTCACTACGCCGATTTTTTGTTTTAAATATCTTTCGATCGATTGTTTTAAATTCGTCTTAGTTAAACCGATTTATTCGATTTAAGTCAAACTTCTAACCGATTGACAACAAAATATTTATAGATTTGTTTTGGATTGTGATATATTTATATTTCAAATATCATTTCGATCGATTGTCCTAAATAATCTCATGTATATTAGATTCAATAAAACCAAACAAAAAAAACTATTACCAACAGCAAACGATGTATGTTATGCATAACTGTGTTATCTTATGATTTCACATGTCTTATCTATCGATTGTCCATAAGTAAGTCTCATGTATTTCATTTACAATCGAAGTTAAAATTTTAACCAATTGAAAACAACATATATTATAGATTAATAATTTTATTTTAAAATTCACCTATTTTCGATAGACTGTCCTACAAAAATTTAAGTAAATATTTAATATTGTAAAAACAATTACCAATTATTTTTTGTGTGTGTGGTTTCCCTTGTGAGACTCCTACATATGAAAAATATATATAATATATTCATATCCGTATCCTAATATCAATTCTTTTCCTTATGTTTAATAAAATAATTCCATTAAAATTCAACGAAAAAAAATAATTCCATTAAACTTAAGGAATGCCCTTAAACCAAAATTTCATTTACCATTAAACGAAAAGAAAAATTCGCATACAGTGTAGGGCTAAAGGCCCTAAGTAATAGGCCTAAAACAATTTCTTATTTGTAAATTGTAAGTCAAAAAGAACCCAATTAAATAAAGACCAAAGAATAATAAAAGAAGACCAAAAAAAAAAAGTAAGGACACCAAATGGGCGGATTGGTTACCCACCATGCATGCTTTCTTCCGACGAACAAAAAAATTGAGATATATATTATCAATCAATGGTAATATTTGATATTGGTGAAATTATAACATAATGGTATGAAAATGTGTCGTAATGGTATGAATATAATATAGTGTAGAGTATATGTATATATGATCGTAGGAATATACTAATCACCATGAGCAATTTTTCAAAATTTGAGTTAAAAATGGGAGTGATGCCTGGATGGTAATGTGTGGTACATGATTTTTTTCTCAAAATATATTTTAAAAAATAAAAATACTTTTTAAATCACAATAAATTCATTTCATCTATACCGTTTTTAATTCGAGTCAATAAAATATACAAGTTGATAAAAAGTAGAAAAATAAATTAAAATCCTAATTTCTTTCCTTATATTTTACTTTACTCAAAATAAAAAGAACTTATCTAATTATATTAAGTCTCATGCTCCATCACAGGGTACAGGTTCATATTCAAAATCGTGGCTGGTAAACTTGTTGCATTGTTGTATTTTTCCGGTAAGAGCCAACCAACCTTTTTGATGGACAACTCTTATGAGAGATAATATTTTGATTGTTCGATTAGAGGAGACATGGAGAGGAGGTCCTTTATTATGCCTATTTGTATTTGTATGTTGGGTTGAAGCTTGTTGTTATCACTTTCATGTTAAACCGTCTATTTCTCAATAGTCGATTGTGGGATTGTCTTGCTCGTAAAAGAGCGAAAATTTAGATCACTTCGTTAATAATTTTTGCTTCTCCATAGATTTAACAAGACAATTTAGACTTGACTTATAGATACTTGGATGAATATGAAGCTTCCTAGTTTCATGTCATTCAACAATTTGTACCTTTGCTTGTATATGGGGGAAAGGACTAAAATGTTACAATAATTATTTTTATGAGCCAAATTGTTAACAAGGTTGGACTGGTTGGTAACGTGGAGTTGAGTGACTAGAACTTAACTGCCCATGAATAAGACAAAGTTCAATTTAATCATATAAATAGAATTTACCGAAAATTTAGGAGGAGGAATTAGAAATGGAGGAGAGGAAGGGACGCCGGGGGAGGTGGTGAGCAGCGGTGGAGGAGAAGGCGGCGGAGGTGGCGGTGGAGAGAGAGAGAGAGAGAGAGAAGGTGTGGAAATGCTAAAGGAAGGTGCGACCGTTTCAAAGCGAAGTTATCGGCGAATCGAGTCCAATCGGCAATCGTCCGACAGAGAATAGAGAGAGAAAGAGACGACGATGACGACGGGGATGATCCCTCAGAGCATTGTCGGTATCCTTCTCCTTATGCTGCTCCTCGTCCTCCTTCTCATCCTCATCGCCTGTAAGCCATGGCGCCTCTGCTTCTCTTCTTCCTCCCGTTCTCGCTCTCTTAAGGTACCTAAATCATATCATTGTTACCTTCCCCTTCCCTTCCTTCCTATCACTATTTAGGTTTCGATTCCTGTAAGCATTTCATCTCCCTGATGTGATCGATTGTTGCTTCCCGGCGATCGGCTGCGGTTTCCTTTTTCCGCCGGGAGCTGGTAGTTCGGCTGTTCATTGCATTTCTATCTTCTATTATTAGACACGAAAAGCTGCGGCGATCGCTTCTCCTTTCTCTATTGAATTCCTGTATCGTATCCATCTGTGGATTTGGTACTTTGTTTGGTTGAGATAGGGAATGCGAAGAAATGCTGAGGGTTTGGTGTAGCTGTTAGTTGTGGAAGTGAACGGTTTTGATAAGACTGTTGATCGGATTGATAGTTGATGAATGAGCATTAATATTATGTTACTGATTGCTCCCAGCATCTGTTTTGTTGATTGGGTGATCAAACTCTGGATTTGATATCCTCTGTGCAATTTGCATAATGGGTTTAGCAGCTTCCATTTCTTGTCAAGGGAGAGATAGGTGTGTTTTGAAATGCATTTGTCAAATCATTGGGATTTGATGCTCCATTTCCCTGAATCAAACTTCCATTATGGAAACGATTTCATATGCGCCAGGAATGTAGTTTCAAAACCTCATCGCTACTATCAGATTTTTCAAGTCTTGGTGTCCTTTAGCAGTTTATGGACGGGTAGTTATATTATTTTTCTTTCTCAAGCTCTTCATTTGAGCAACGCCAGTACATGAATCACGTAATAACTCAATGTTCCCATTTGTTATTGTACATCCAATATGCTTATGGATGATTAGGCTGAACAATGTCTCATGTGTTTATCACAAAGTGATATTTTTGTGTGCCATGCTCCACTTGTGCTTAATCATTGATGTTCTAACCATTGAGTTTGTCCTTGTTAGAATGGGGGTGAGATAGAGAGGCCTCTTGTTTCAGATGATGTGGATGCCCATAATGGCAACAATGAAGGTGGAAGAACCTATGATATTGAGGGAGCTTGTTATCAAAATGACGGGCTGTTGCGTATGCCTCGCATGGAGGGACTTGTCCACAAACCAAGGGTTCCTTCTGCATCTCCTCATGTGACTCCCCAAGGTTTTTAGCACTATGTTCTTTCATTATGTTTGTGCTACTTCTTAAGCTGGGATATCTCTTTTGAAACGTTGGTGAAAATACTGATATTTGTTTTTCCCCCCCGTACAGTTGATAGCTTGATCTTAGAGGTAGTCCCGGAACCTGTGGAGGATGTTACTGTTGGAAAAACCCTTAAGTACTCTCCACTTGCTGGACGCTTGCTTGAGGCGCAAAAACATTTTCGACCAGAAAATCAAATTTCTAATGTAAATCCTGGTTCACAAAAAAATAGGTTACCAGAATCTTCACCCAAGGTTATTGATCATCAGGGTAATTTATTCGGCTTTCCCCGGTCATAGAGCTATTTACTCGACTTTGCAGCAACCTTTTGCATTTTCATCTATTGTGAATGTGATATGCAGCTAAGCTTTATTATTTATCTCAATGTGAGAAACAAGTTATAATACTTTTCTGTTAGAATTTCAGGTAGCTGCCTCTCCCTTGAGGTAATTTCTGGTCCTTCTAGTGGACAACGCTGCTCTGTGCAATCAATGAATGCTTCACGGGTTTCTGTGACCCTTGGAAGAGTTTCCACTGACTTATTGTTCAAAGACACGGAGGTATCAGGGAAACATGCTATGATCAACTGGAATGGCTATGTAACTTTCTGATACTCCTCTACCATTTACGCGTTTATGTTATCTATAATTTGCATAGAGACACTTACAATATTTTTCTTGATAGAAAAAGAAATGGGAGGTTGTTGACATGGGTAGCCTCAATGGAACGCTTCTAAACTCTCAGCCAATCAACCACCATGATCCTGAAAGTAGACAGTGGGGTAGGCCGGTTGAGCTTTCAAGCGGAGACATAATAACTCTTGGCACAACATCGAACATACAGGTAAGCTTATCTCCTCCATGATATGCAACTTGATGTGTTGTGTATGACACAGTTGGTTGAGCAGTTATCTGACTTGTCTTCAAGCATTCCAGATTCATGCTTTGTTGAATCATATGATTTCTTCAGTCCCATAGGATTTTGGATGACCTGGGGTTCTGTAGTATGTTTGAAATGCATCTGTTGTCGCATTGTGCCATTGTCTGAAGATTGTGAATTACCTCATGGTTATTTATCTTGATGTGTCTGACATACTACTACTCATATGTTGCATACATGCTGCTATCTTGTTATTAATCATCAACTTTGGTGTTGTTGCATTGTCTGAAAATTGTGAATTACCTCGTGGTTAATTATCTTGATGTGTCTGATATACTATTACTCATAGGTTGTATACATGTTGCAATCTTGTTAGTCATCAACTTTGGTGTTTGCTCTACTATTATTAAGTGAAACCTGCAAGCTTCTGTTTGTCGTGTCTATTCAGTGATGAAAATATGAACCAAAATCAGTGAACATGAATTGTAATTTATGTATCCTTACTCCCTGATTTTGATGCATTCCTTGTGGCTTTCTCTTCATGCAGGTCAATGTAACATCGAAGGCGGAAACCAGAATGAGAATACCCTTTGGCATAGGCATGGCTTCAGATCCCATGGCTTTGCGCCGTGGAGGAAAGAAGCTACCTATGGAAGATGTGTGCTATTATTCGTGGCCCCTTCCAGGCATTCATGAGGTTGTTTATTTCCGGAAATTCTTTTTTGGCTGAAGTTCCATTGCTTTATCCTGAAAAATGCTAAATGGTGTATCTAATCTTGCAGTTTGGTGTTTTTGGGGTTTGTGATGGGCATGGTGGAGCAGTGGCCGCGAAATCTGCCAGCAAGTTAGTATTCTAAATTTAGAGCTCATATATATCTTAAAAGACTACCACCCCACCCCATTCCTCCAGCAAGGTCCCCGCCTATTTGACACTCCTTGCCTCTCCATGGCAAGCACCTAATTGGCCTGTTGGCCAAGGAAACTTCTCCTCTAGGGTGGTTGAGGTGTCATCTTAAGGAGCAATCATATTGCTCTTGGTTAATCCATAATTAATGACCTTTGACCTTTTGTGCAGGATGTTGCCAGAGAAACTTGCCAATATTTTATCAGACTGTGTGATGAGGGAAAAAGTCATATCGCAAGGCAATGCTGCAGATGTTCTTAAAATTGCATTTTCCCAAACAGAGGCTTCCCTGACTAACTATTATGAGGTCTTCCCTCTTCTTAATCTTGTTTATTTTACTGTTACTTATCTACAAGGAATGTGATGTAGGCTTTGAGACTTTATAACCATGCTTCGGTTGTTTGCTTATTAAATCTTCAGTCTATCTTCCCGGAATATCTCTGCTTCGCCATGCACCTGCACCATGTGTGTGTAACAGCTATGTTATGAAGTATTGTTATTTTGAAGAACTTGGATAAACAATTCAGCTACTGTGCTGTTCTCTTACTCATTCAGCCATTGTTGTGATCAATGTGATAAACAATTCAATGCTTCATATCTTTCTGAAAGAATAACCGGTAGCATTTACATTTGTTCCTTTCTATTCTCTTGATCCCTTCTTCCCCAATCATGGAGTTTGGAAAAATAGCCGGTAGCATTGTTCTCTTTCTTTCTGTTCTCCTGGCCCCTTCTTCCCTAAACATGGAGTTTGAAAGAATAACTGGTGGCATTTTATATCTCTTCAGGGTTGTACAGCAACAGTGCTTCTGGTTTGGACTGACGGTGGAAATCGTTTCTTTGCTCAATGTGCAAATCTTGGGGATTCCGCTTGTGTTATATAGTACGTTATTATTTCTTCTCAAAGAGAATAAAATCATTTTCTTTCTGTTCTATCCTTAGTACGACATTCACAGAGACATTATATGATTTTCAGTGTCGATGGGGAGCCAATCAAGATGACAGAAGACCACAGAGTGGTTAGTCACTCTGAAAGACTTCGAATGAATGGAATAGGAGATCAGCAGTTAAGAGATGGGGAAACACGTCTTTGTGGTCAGTAGAATGTCTATTGTGTCATATGTTCCATCCCTTCATAGTGAATTTCAAGTCATTGCCTTACTCTTCTACCAAACTGGAACCCAGGTTTGAATCTTGCTCGAATGCTCGGAGACAAGTATCTGAAACAGCAAGATGCTCGCTTCAGTTCGGAGCCTTACATAAGTGAAGTCGTGCACATAGATCAGTCAAGCTCAAGTGGCAGTTTTGCAGTTTTAGCCAGGTGAGCTTTAGTTTGCGACTGTTCTTGTTCCTTCAAGAACAAGTTACATAACCAATGTAGTCAAAAGCGAGTTTCTACGTAGAAACGTTTTGGTGATCTAGAAGCGTAAAATCGTAAGTTTTTAAGTTTTAAAGCGGAGTTTTTAACTACATAAGTTATAAAAACTAAGATTTTGCGTAGAAGCGTTTTGAGTGACCTAGAAACGTAAAATCGTAAGTTTTTAAATTTTAAAACGCTATTTTGACTACATTGTACATAACATACAGAAAACATATACTCCTTTGAGGAAACTTAATAAAAGTGCTTTTACAATCATGTGAATTTTTTTGCAGCGATGGGTTCTGGGATGTTGTCAGTGTTAAAAAGGCTGTCCAGCTTGTCCAGCAGGCGAATGAGAAGGAGCATGCAGAAGGGGAGAATCCAGCGGAGAAGATTGCGAATGCTCTGCTGAATGAAGCTAGAGTACTGCGTACAAAGGATAACACCTCCGTACTTTTCTTGGATTTTGATAACAAAGTTAGGTCCTTGTAAAGTTACATCGTAATGCAGAACTCAGTCTCGTTAGCGTAGAACAATGTCTTTATATTCATGTTTTGAGGTGTCTATAACAGAAGTAAGATGAACTACCATGATGGTGAGAACAAACACAGTGGCCGCCTGCATCAGCAACTTTGTGGATTTGAAGTTGGAAGCTGCCGAAAAGTTACCGCAGGGTTGCTTGGTTGTCAAGGCAGTGCTAGTCTTGGTGGAATAAGAAAGGTTTGCTTTAGAGAGGTAGTAATAGGAAGAAGGTTGATTGATAGAGAAATGTCGCAATAGAGTTGTAGCTTTCTTGAAATTAGGTTGAACTCTCTTTACCGAGAAATGACATCGGAACCCTTATCTTTCTTTGACATGACTACCGTGAATGAATCGACTGTAATTTCGTTTATCTTTGTTTTCGTGCATTGAATAAAGAGTTATGGTTGTTCTGATCAAATTTTGAGCTCATAAATTGTCTCAGATATAACTAAAAATGAATTGAAGTTGAACAGGGTTGAATTGAATCAAATGAGCTTTTGATTCGCTGTTGGTCATCAATCTTTTTCTGAAGTTTAGATTCGATAATCTTTGTTTTCGTGCATTAAATCAGGAGTCATGTTGTTTTTATTAGATTTTGAGCTCGTAAATTGTATTAGATATAAGTGAAAATGAACTAAAGTTGAAATAGGTTGAATCGAATCAAATGAACTTCTGATCCAATTCTGAATCTAATCGATCAATTCCTACTTTTACATGTGGGTTGTGAGTATCCATCCAATCCACAACTTGTTTCGGTCAATGTTTTAGGAACCATATCCTACCATCCCGTCAGATCTGTAATACCGGATGCTAGAAGCAAAATGGTAAATAATTTTAGCGATATAGAAGGTTTAACCATTATTTTAGTACAAAATATTTGACATTTTTGGTATAAACTCAAATACAATTTCACAATCATTCGTTTCATTGCCATATAGTCCTTAGCTCAAACTGATTCCCTCAAAACTTTTACTACCCAGGGTGAAAATGTTTTTTTTTTGTCATTCAACCGATCTCAAAAGAGATGGAGATAAGATCCAAACAAAGTCAATTACAAACTACGCAACCAGGACACATAGTCGAACCTCGACAAGAGCCGAGGCGACAAACTAAGGGATTTCTTGGCCACTAAATGAGCCTCCCTGTTCCTCTGACGACCTACGAAACGCAGATCACAAGTACCCTCCAAACTCGCCAATAAAGCTTTGATCTCGCGCAAAATCGCGCCCACCATAGAATCATTGAAATCCCCTGAAGCACACTTATCCAATATGACCTTAGCATCTCCTGTAACCAAAAGAGAGGAAAGATGTCTTTTGGAGCATTCGAGTAGACAATCCCGGAGAGCAAGGGACTCCAAAACATGAGCATTTGAAATCCCTTCGTAGATGGTCGCTGATGCTGCAAAAGGAAAAACCAGCCCTGCAGGAGACGCTCCTTCCCCAATTACAAAGGCTGCTGAACCTGATCCACCCTTCCCCGTTGCGCCATCGAACGATGCATGAAATTGAAAATGCCCTTGAAGAGTCCGGGACTGAACAAGAGCAGATGCTGCATTCGGCAATTGTTGTGGAAGAGATGGAGAAGAGAAGGCAGACTCAATTTCATTAACTTGATGACGCCATTCCGCTGCCCTGGACTCCAAACGAACATGTTGCTGATCAAACAAAGTACAACACCTGTTCTTCCATATACGCCAAAACATAGCTACAACTTGCAGAGTTAGATAAGAATCAGAAGCACCCCCACTCTTATGAAAAGAGCTCACCTCGGACCATACCAGCAAACGATCGCTTATCCCAACTCGCAAGTTCTGTCCGGACACCCACCAAATTCCACAATTTCCGGGCAGAAGGACAGGTAAAAAATAAGTGTTCTATCGATTCAACCTTCCGACCACAAACCGGGCAAATCGGAATAATATCAAGACCCCTGAATGATAAGGCTTCTCTAGTTGGCAAGATACATTGCCAAACAAAAATTTTCAGTTTGGGAGGCAATTTCAAGTTCCACAACCACAGCCACATTCCATGATCAACTTGATTGACCCGCAGACGACCAATATTCGCACGTGAAATTCGAAAAGCAAGATGATAAGCAGAGCGTACCTGGAAAACACCTGAAGACTCGTAATGCCAAATCAACGCATCCGGAATTGGGATTTTTGACAAAGGAATTGACAAGATGAGCTTTTTTTTTTACTAAGGTAGATATTTAATAGATATGGAATTACAAAGAAGTGAAAAATAAATAGCGGAAATCAGCCAAACGCTGATTAACCGATGCAAGAGCCTTTTTCGCCACGCAATGGGCAGCCCTGTTAGTTCTACAAACAAATCGAATAAACGTGAACGAAGCCTTCAACAGCCGAACCTCCTCAAGGATTGCTCCACCCCGATCATGCTCTATGACATTCTCCGTTACTCTCCGAATCACCATTTGCGAATCACCACATAATCAAACAGAGACAATGCCTCGGGTTAAGCACCAATCCATTGCATCACTCAAGCAAAAGAAGTTTAGAAAGCAGCAAATTCAATTAAAAAACGTGCAGTTATGAAAGGGGAATGTAAAAAAGTGTAAAGGCCTAAAGGGAGATTATGAAAACCGTAACACAAAAAGAATTAAGGAAAAAATAAAAGAATAATGTTTAGCTCGTGACGGTTGAAATCAGCCGGGATTTGTAACCGTCTGAAGGGAACTCGACGGAACTGCACCTCGGATCGCCCCGCCGCCGTTGAGGGCCGCCACCGACCTTGAACTGTATCTCCAACGCCGTGATGAATTCTCCCATGGTCTCCAACAGAATTTGGCATCAGAACGGGTGCCAGCGGCACTGCGGCAGTCCGTGGTGGACATCGAGAAACGCCGCCGTCATGACCGCATCATTGAATTCCACTACCACCACCACAATGGAAGACAAACAGATTGCGAAGGAGAGAGCTCTGGATTGAGATGTGTCAGGGAGTAGAGCACAATCCGAAATCCCACCACCAAGACGGAGGGGGGAATCGACAACAAAGCCGCACTAAGGCGGAAAAGCCAGAACCGGTAGCCGCACAGAGACGGTTACAGAGCGACCCCTAAGTTTTTTCTTTCCCCCGGGTCCTCGATTACTCTTCCATCCTCCAGAGGTTGATGTTTCTTGTTGCTACATTCAGACTTGATAAAACTCGAACCAAGTTAACGAGTCCTTTTCTCAAACTAGTGATTCCATCCCTTTCTTTTCTTTTCGAGGGTTTCCCAAAAGGCGAAAATCGAAAAACACTAGAAGGAGTACCCCACCCACCACCGTCGCTCGTTTGGCGGGATCTTTGCATCCACCGGCCGGCCGTCCATCAATCGATTGATCCCCATTCCGTCTTCTGGTTCTTGCTTCTTCCGTTTTTATGGCAATAGGTTTGGTGGGTAGAGAATTTGACTTTTGCAACTCATTAATCCCGTGCAAGCACCTATCCAAGATGAGCTTGACAGATTCAGGACTGAAAAACAAACGCAGTGCCGCCATATTCCAAGTGCAGGATCCCGGATCAATCAGAGCAGAAACAAATGGAAATGAAGCAGGGGCACCCTGACGCCGAATGAGAACAGATGGTGGAGACGTGGGCAGCCAAGCATCTTCAAAGGCCCGAATCGACTCTCCACAACCTACTTGTCAGCGTAAGCCTCGAGAGAGCAAGTCACGCCCATGAAGGATGCTCCTCCATCCCCACGAAGGATTGGAACCAGAAGATGCCTCCAGCAGAGAGTGATCGTGAACAAAATAGCGCCCTTTAAGAATACGAGCCAGGAGGGATGAAGGCTCGGAAAGAATCCACCACGCAACCTTAGCCAGCAATGCTTGATTAAAGCACCCAAACTCACGGAAACCCAAGCCTCCCTCATGCTTACTCCCACACAATGTCTTCCAGGCTATCCGATGAATCCGACGTTGTCCCTGAACTGCCCCCACCAGAAACGAGCCATATGGGCATTCATACTGTTAAAAAACGCGCTGCTACGGATCGGGAAATCGCCAGAATCGACAAAGCAAGAATACGAAAGCGAGAATCGAAAACACGACACACGATTTACGTGGTTCACTAACACGATGTGTGCTAGCTACGTCCACGGGCGAGAGAGAGCCAGTTTCACTATATCGAGGAGATTACAGATTACAGAGGAGTATGAGAAGTATTTATAGTACTTCTCCATGTGGGTCTAAACCTAATCCAATCTTGCAAAGGAAACGGTTACAGACCAGGCCCAGAACCCGAACCCAAATAACATTGAGCCCATACACCGTGGGCCGGGACCCCCGATTACCAATCGTAGCGGCTGATAATCCGATTCAAGTCATATCAACACATACGACGAATTAAATCTGCAGGAAGCCAAAAACAAGACATTGTGTAGATAGGCAGAGCCGCTGCCACAGACATTGTGTAGATAGACATGGTGAAAATGTTCACCGAGTCTGAATCCCATAGAGAAGCAGAGAAAGAAATTATGGGTAGACAAGTAGTTTGGGCTGGCCCAATAAAGCAAGCCCAAAGCTGATTTTTCTCAAATTACATAAGCACTGGAAATTTCTCGTTAATTCAAAACCCTTGAAAAAACTCGCGTCAGTTGAGCTGAGTGGCGAGTGCTGACTGCCGAAGCAGAACGCTGCAGAAAAGGGAAAGGCAAATGGGGAAGAAGAAGAAGAGAGCTGAACTTGAAACGGAACCTGAACCATCGACCATATCAGCTGAGAAGGTCGATAGTGATCAGGAATTCATCAATGGAGATTCTAACAAAAAGATGAAGAAAAAGACGAAGAGGAAGAAGGTAGAAATTGAACGGGGAAATGAGGAAGCGAAAGAACAAGGGAGCGAAGCCAAGGAGCTGCCTACAGTTAGCGTAGCCGTGTCTGGTTCCATTATCGACAACGCTCAATCGCTCGAACTCGCCACTCGCGTAATCCCTCTTCCTCTCTTCTGCTCTCTCTTTCACTTCGCTCTTAATTTTACTCACCAGTTTCCAGTGGCGCGTTTTCATCCATTTCATAGCTTAGGGTTTTAATTTCTATCAGGAAAAGAAATTTGAACTCTCTATTTTCAGTTTCACTTACGGCTAGTTTTTCCCCATCTTGCTTTGTTTTCTCAGCTGGCTAGCCAGATTGCTCGTGCCGCCACCATCTTTCGGATAGACGAGGTTTTGGCTCTAATCTTAATTAAGAACCAGTGTTCTTCTTTTCCTACATTTTCTCAGTGATATGAAGCCTAGATTGACGTTGACAGGTAGTGGTTTTCGATAACAAGGCCACTTCTTCGAATGAGGATCCCACCACAACAATGAACAACGGTTCAGATGAGAATGAAAGTGGGGCAGTTTTTCTAGTCAGGATATTGAGATATCTTGAAACTCCACAGTATCTGCGGAAGGCTCTGTTTCCTAAACATAATAGCTTGCGATTTGTGGTGAGTGATTGATTCTGACGGCTTCTGATTGTATTGTTTGTGTTTTAAGGTGTGTTCTTTGATTTCGTTGTTCGTGATGGTTGATGAAGAACATTTCTATCTTTTCTTATTCTTCTTTCACAGGGAATGTTGCCTCCTCTTGACGCCCCACACCACCTTCGCAAGCATGAGTGGGGGCCATTTAGGGAAGGTGCGGGTCTTACTTAACTCGTTAATCATGCTTTTTCCAGTTTTAGACCGACTTAGTGACTTAAGAGGCGTTACACCGCAGGCGTCACGTTGCATGAGAAATGTCCGGACCCTGCTGGAACACTGGTTGATGTAGGTTTGAGCAAGGTAAGATATCGTTGAAGCTATACCCCAGAAGTTAGACATGACATCAATTGTACATTTGTGTGTGCTTTTGTTGGATGTCGTCCTCGGTTTATATGGTGGTTTCCATGTTCCTTGTTATTATCTTCACTAGCTGGAAGTTGGCTGAATGATTATGCAATTGTGCTTGATACTATTTCTTGTCCTGCAATCATTCTTTATGCAATCTGTCCGTGGTCCATCTTTGAGCTGCTGCACTCTTTTATCTTCTCGGTTCTAGATAATAATAAAAAACTCTACAGTAATGTGACGTTTTATAGATCTGAAGCTAAATTATGCAGAATGTTATGATTGATCAACGACTTGAAGCAGGGACAAGAGTAACGGTGGCAATGGGAACTGATCGGAATTTGGATTCAGGTGATGAACGTGCCCTTTTATCTCATAGAATGATTCAGTTCCCCAACTAAAGATATCATTTGGCACCAAAATCAGCCAGATAGCTGCGATTGTCGACTGATCCCTCTGGAGGATCTTCTTTCGGTTTTGCTACAATACCATTTCCCTTGTGCTCTCTGGTGGCACCTGAGTGTGTCCTGAATGTTGACTATGTTGCACACGTGATGCTGCTAAACTTTATTAACTCCTAAGATTTTCTATGCTCCCAAGTGCAGGCACGCCACTGCCAATTGTTCCATTTTCCAAGCCCAGGGAGGAAGCAGGGATGTACTGGGGTTACCGAGTGCGGTATGCTTCAAATATCAGTTCTGTGTTCAAGCATTGTCCATTCAAGGTATTGATCTTATGCTATCTGTGTTGGTTTTTTATGGCATATGTACTTTTTTCTGCTATTGCTAGGCCCTATGTACGTAGTAAATTTTTACTCCAATTGCAGGGTGGATATGACCACTCGATTGGTACATCTGAGCATGGTCTAAAACGTAGTTCATCAGAACTTTCTTTGCCTCCTTTCAAGTAATGTTCTTGTTCCTTTCCTCTTCCTTCGGTTGGTTAGTTGTGTGCCTACACTGTTTCTTGCATATGTGCTATAGCTTCTTAAGATTCTTGAGCCTTCAATCTTCTTGTTTCAATGTACTGATGAGTTGGCAGAGATACGTTTAATATTGTGGAAAGTTTCAAGTAGTTGCTACGGTAAATCCAACCATAAGTTGATTATCACTATCGAATGGCTTTATGTTCGCTACCATAATCTGATTATCAACATCATTCTAGGCATCTGTTGATTGCTTTTGGTGGACTTGCTGGGTTGGAAGAAGGTGTCGAAGAAGACAGCAGCTTAAAGGTACTATTCATCTTCATGTTGTACAAAGTTGAGATATTCGCCATGCTTTTTCGTTTATTTGAATGCGAGCTGTACCTCAACTCCCCTCTGCAATATGTACTCTAGCTTATTCATGCTGTTTTTTTTTTTTTTTTTTTTTTTGCATCTCACTCAAGGGTACAAACGTCCGTAAGGTGTTTGATTCGTACCTGAACACATGTCCAGATCAAGGGAGTCGGACGATCAGAACAGAGGTTTGTACTTTGTACCGTCATTGTCAGCATATTTTCCCTTACAAAAATCATCTTACTAAATCCCGATGTTTTTTTTACCAACTTCAACAGGAAGCAATCCTCATATCCCTCCAATATTTCCAAGAGCCTATAAACCGAGCTCTGCAGAGATTTCATCGCTGAGTTAAACAACCATGGACATGAGCAACTCACAATATTTCCATGAAACATGATGAAGATCTTGCAATCTTTCTACGAGCTAGTAGATTCAGATGTTGTAACTTTATCTCTCCTTTTTATCTTTCTGCCTATCTGGGACAGTCAATTTAGCAGGGATTAAAAACATTGGAGTTGGAGGGAAGAGCTTGAATAGGTTACACTTGACAGTGTTTGTAGGTATCTTATATTTCATTGTTGTGCACGCATGAATTCATTTATTTTTTAAGTAGTAGTTCATGTTTCAAGTGTGAAAAAAGGAAGGTAATCTCCAAGAGATTACATATTTTTAAAAGAAAGATTCATTTATTCCAAATGGAAAAATATTTTATCGAGTTACAAGGTTGATATGAATTTGGATCCACTTTGTTTGAATCATACGCGGAGTGAGGGAATTTATGACTTGTCTTGAATCTACACCCCCAAGGACAAAATAACACAACCTTTATCCAACAATTTAACCCATCTAAAAAATAGTTTGTCCTTGGTCTAAAAGGTTTAAGTATAACCAACCAAAGTAACAGACTATGGCTGCTTTGGAATAAAAGGTTTCTGCTAGAGGTGGCAAATCGATGAATCCAATCCATCAACTAAATTATCCATCTAATCCAATCCACTTAAATTCAATCTATTTGATCCAAATTTAATTGGATTGGTGGATTCATGGATCAATCCACGAATCCAAATGGCAAATTATAATTTGGTACCTATATTTTTTATATTTTATATTTTGGTACCTAAAATTTATATTTTTTATACGAAAAATATCATTGGAAAATTACATTTTGGTTCCTAAAATTTTTTATCATGACATTTTAGTACTTAAACTCTTCACAATTTACATTTTGGTCAAAATCTTGGATGTCATTTGAATTTATGGATCAATCCACCAATCCATTTGATCCATGGATCCACCAATCTAATCCACCAACCCATGAATCCAATCTATTTGCCACCTCTAGTTTCTGCCAAACTACATGATACCACTCCACTCGACTTGAGGGGAGGGGAGGGGGAACAGATTGATATCCGTACAATTCTAACTGAGAATCGAGGAAGGAGATTACCATCCTAAGCAAGAGTTGACCCAGAGTATGTAATATGTTGCTGAGCTTCAGTTCTACACGTTAGGATCTTGTGTCCCGTCCAATAACCTGCAAATGTTGGAGGCCAAGCCCATAGTGTACGACCTTTTAATCTATACTTCCGAGTGATTTGTATAAAACTGTATCGAGCATTCGAAAAGTTTTCACCTTCGGGATTAAAGGGCTCTCACTTTGGATTCCCTTTCTTCACTTCAATGCCTTATCTAGAAGCATATCGGGATATATACTCATAGTGGCTTCCATACCATTTTCCCGTGGAGCTAACTAACAACATATCAACTTATGACTACTAGACCCCTTCATAAAAAAAACCTATGAGTACTGGACCCATACCAAAATCCAACAATATACTTTAGCATTTACAAATCTCTTTTGTTATTCTATTTTTCCGGGTTACTCACCGTATAGATCAAATTTTATGCCGTTTAATTTAAATAAGGTAAAAGATCCATACCCGACTAGGAAAGGAAAATTGTATAGGCCAGGAGCAGAGCCAGGATTTAGCATTCGGGGGGCCAGAGTCTTCTTAATATGTTATCGTAAAAGACTAAAAAATTATAATAAACAAAATATTTTAAAAAGCTATGTTGTTCGGGAAGACCAAGGTCGCTTTTTGGGTGGTGTCACGATGAATTTGGGAGGAGGAGCTATCACCTGAGCGGAACTCATGTGAATGTTTCAGGGGCTGCAACGTGCATGGGAAATGGGAGTGAAGAAGGTCGTCCTATAGACGGACTCCCGGGGGGCGGTGGATTTGGTTGATTCGGCCACTACCACACACCCCCATTATCGGCTGGTGCTGCAAGTACGGCGGATTCTAGAACGTGAATGGAAATTTCGAGTGGAGCTTATCTATCGGGAGGGGAATGCAGTAGCGGACTTCTTGGCGTCAATGGGGCATGTTTCGCCACTGGGTTCGCATCCGATTTTTATTCCTAATCCTCACCTGAAATACTGGCTGCTTTTTGATCTTGTAGGGAGTCAAACTCCTAGACTTATTGTTTCTTAAATGATTGAGCGCTAAGCGCCCTTTTCCTACAAAAAAATATTTAAATTAAATTCACTTTAAATCAAACAAATAAAAAAATTATTAATCGTTTCACTATTGTGTCACACGTTCTCTATCCATAACTAAAAAAATACTCAGAAAAAAAGTATTCATATATAAAAATTTAATTGAACCAATTTTATATTAAGAAATTAACAAACCAAAATATGAAATTTAAATGATTAACTTAATTTGTTTAGTCGAATGAAAATTTCAAAAGAAAATAAAAATTGCAAATATTCATAATGGGGTAAATTGCAAGGTTGATCACTGGAAGTGCTAAAATATTCATGTTTGGTCACTAAAAGAATTTTATTCCATTCATGGTCACTAGAAGTGTTTAAGGTTTCACAATTGGTCACTCTCCGTTAATCTCCGTCCATCTCCGCTAACTGAGTCCGTTATCTGCTGACGTATCTAACAGAATTGCCAGGTCAGCCTGATTAAACCTGGAAAAAACGAGACTCGACCCGTTAACCCAACCCATGATACGGGTTGACCTAAGAACAAGCCAATAAAATTAAAAATGAAGAAACAAGGGGCTACTTTTCTCGATCCATCTCCTTCTTCCCTAGACTCTTCCTCTACCCTTTTTTGCGAAATTAGTCCAAGACCATTGTACTTCTTCATCACGCCTTTTCTTCTTCCTCTATTCCACCCCACTTAAAACCCTAAATCCACTTGCAGCTCTCTTTTCTCCCATTCTCAACTCACCGCTTCATTAATCATCACCAGACACTACTTGAATCTGTACTAGAGTCATCGAATCGCAACACCAACAAAATTTGCTGAACCCACCGTCTTTCCACCTCTGCATCACGTACGCAGACATCGTCGACGGATCTATATTCTACGGGGTGAACATGAGCACGGGGAGCTGCTATGCCATCCCGATGAGCATCACGAATCACCGCAAACACAGATCAAACGTTTCAGTATCTAGGTTTCCCAGAAGCTTTAGAAGAGGAAAGCAGCGACGGCTCGTGATAGACCGATATTTACACATGTTTTCACCCCTATTCTGAAGCCGTCTGTGATGAGGAATCTCGTGTTTTAAGCCGATTTCACGCTAGGTTGTATGTTTATGTCATATTTCAGGTCCCGACGTTGGAATCGAGGCGAAGGAACGAGTTCCGGGTCGAAAGGAGCGAAGTTGGGGCAAAGGAGGCTGTTGGACCAAAATACCCGGCCAAAGGAAGAAATACCCGACCAGGTATATTCTGGCCTTGACCGGGTATTTTTCCCTTCGGGCACTCGTGAGAAGCAGAAGGGGGCCCGGGCGATGGCCTTAAATCCCCGGTCGGGGATTATGAGGATGGACCGGGGATTTCTCCTCTTAGTGAAACGACGCGTTCTGGAAATACCCGGTCGAACCCCAGAATACCCGACCGGGTATTTCGACCGGGTATCGCGATGGCAGCTGTTAAAAGAGGAAGAAGGCCAATTTTCAGAGGGTTCCGAGTTTTTGAGAGAGAAAGCGATACCTAGAGAGAGAAAGCGACGAACCAGAGTTCCCAAGCGCCATAGATCGATCTTCAACACCATTGGAGCCCGGCTTGAGCTTGGAGAAGTGCGATTAAACGTCCAGGAGCAGAAATCCATCTTCACAGTATGATTTCCGCGTCTGAATCTGCTTTTGCTTCTTTCTCTATGGAGTAGTTTCCCCATTCATCTGGGTATGGGGAACCCTAGATTTGTATGCTAGGTCTGATTGTATAAACCCAAGTACAGAGTTTGTGAATTGATTATATTCGATTGAGGTTTGCATGATTGAATGACTTGAATCCTGATCAAATTCCTGTTGTTTCTGCTTTGACCTGGAATGAGAATATCTGCCTAGGTTGATAGAGTACCCTTAATCGAAGGTGGCGAATTGGTGACTTTAGTCGAGGAGCCAATTCGCTATTCTGTACCGAAGTTAATTCGGTAGTGGAGGTTTGGTTCATTAGGGCCTCAAACTGTTTACTCCGGTGGAGGTTAGTCGCCCGCTAGAGACTCAGATTGAGAGGGTCTGGAGACCTTTAGTCGAGACTTCAGGCTAATTGAGAACCTTCCGCAGTATAACTTTCATGAAAACTGAACTTGGTAAATTGCAATCCGACTTAACTGCAGTCTAGGGGGAACCATATCCGGGTGACCTCTCTTGACTTGACAACAACCGTTTATTTGCTTTGTGTTTTGTTTGCTTGAGTTGCACTAAAAGTTCACCGCTAAATAACAAGAATTCACCGAGTAGTCATCACATCTCGGACCCGGGTTGACATTAAAACCCAAACCCGCTATACTACGCTTTAGGAAGTGGTTACACTTGGCCATTTTCTAGAGTGACAGTAGGAGTGAGTCAAGTTTTTGGCGCCGTTGCCGGGGACGGCTAGGTTGTTGAAGAAAAGTGATTTCTGTTACTTTAGCATTTTCATTTTTGCATTGAGTTTTTGTTCCTTCCCACTTGTGCCTTCACGGGTTTGCATTGCTTGATTGTGTGCAGATAGTGCATGACCCGTAGCCAGTCGGGAGGTTTACTGCCGTTGAATCCTGAGATTGAGCGCACCTGCAAACAACTTCGGAAACAACAGCGAGCTAGACTGGCTACGGTGGAGCGCAGAGACGGCCAATTGAGCAGCGACTCCGAGGACGAGTACGAGATGGAAGGCAATCAGAACCCGCCTCCTCAGAACCAGGTCCTGGGGAATGACCCAAATCCCCAGGGAGCTCCCACTTTGGAGTACTACTACACTCCACGGATTGCTGACATCCGCCCGGTCATCCTCTATCCGCCCATTCCAGCAAACAACTTCGAGATCAAGCCATGCTGGATTCAACTCATCACATCCTCTATCCAGTTCCATGGCTTGAAGGATGAGGAAGCCCGGGTACATCTTTCCCGTTTTCTGCAGCTGACGAACGGGTTCAAGCTGAATGGTGTCCCGGATGACGCAATCCGCCTTCATCTCTTCCCCCATTCTCTGGCGGGGAATGCTAAGAGGTGGTTGGAGACCCAGCCCCCATTGTCCATCACCTCTTGGGACGATCTGGCTGATAAGTTCGTGCACCGGTATTATCCGGCATCGAAGACCACGGAGATCCAGCGGGAGATCACTCACTTCCGCCAAGAGCCAGATGAGTCACTTCGTGATGCATGGGAGCGGTACATGGGATACTTCTGGCAGTGTCCCCAT